ATGGTTTGTAAATTGACCCTCGAGCGGGAGGACGAAAAAGGGAAAGAAAAAAAAAACCTGGTTCACCTCACCCCCGGCTGCCTGCTCCATTTTTCCCGACGGTGCTTTAAGCTCCCAGCGGACTCAGCACGGGCGGCTGCAGGGGCTGGCCAGGTGTGGGTCCGCCAATGGGAGGAATATAATTTTTTTTCAATCCAACTCTATCTTTTTATTCTTTTTCACATTTTGTGGTCTTCAAAATTGTGTGATTTCTATCCCTTTATGTTGAATAATATGTGTGTTAATGCAAGTTTCTTTCAGCGCAACTTGTATGTACATTGATTAAGGCTTTTCTCCTCTAATTTTGATGGTATTGCAGATTTGCTTTATTGCAAGTTGTGATTTGTTCATGATCAGCTCCAGAATGACGAACAAAGTAGAAAGCATTTTAAATTTTTTACAATCATCATTTGAAGGCTTTTTAAAAGCACATGTTGCCATCTCTATTACAAAATGTAGTATTGAAAAATTCAGAAGCCACTCCAATTTCTCTCACGACTTCAGGCTTAGAGGATTGACTGATATAACAACTAGAATTTGAGCTCAGAGGAGGAGCTGTTCTTAGCATGTGAACAAGGACCACAACAGCTGCATCTTGAGAACTTTTGGCAGTAAAGGATGCTTGGGACGTATCTTTTGACTTATTTTTCCCATCAAAATTCAGGCTGTAGAACAAAAGAAAACAAAATGGCGCGAGTCAATGGCACATGAAAAATAGCAACATAAAAAGAATGAAGTGTATCAATATTGAACCATTTCTACCGAGTCTATTGCCCAACTAGAAAGTTGGTCCCGAGCCTTTCCTTATAGTTGCACACTTAGTGAACAATGAAGCAAGCCAATCAAATATTCGACAAATCATCAAATAACAATGGGGAAAAGAAGATAAAATTAAAAAACAGAGAAGATGGATCTATTGATGAACCAGAGTAATTCTATATTTAATCTCAATACGAAAGATTACAATGCACAGGTCAATAAATAACAAGAAAACCTATAAATACAATACATGAATGTAACAATGCAAAATATCCGAAAACAGATTGTACTACCTGCCCTCCACTATCAATTATACACACTATGAAATTCCTAAGATAATGGAATCCCCTAATGGGAGAATTAGAGACACGAGATTCTTAACAGCAGCCAGGAAAGAGAGACAGAGAATTTCCAGCACAAATGGTAAGTCGTGTTTTTCCTCTTCTTACATTTTCTCAAACTTTGAGTTCCTGTCAAGTTCATCCTCAAGTTACGATCTGATGAATATAGTCCTTTAGTTTCAATTTTATCTCCCCCCTTCAAGGTGGAGTGAATAGATCTTACTCCTACTTTGTCTCGCATATGAAGAAACGTGGATGAAGGCA